GCCGGAGCACAAGTGGAAAAGATCTCATGGACTAGACCGAAGTCGTGCCGTAGACGAAGGTCGTTTTCCCTAAGCGTAGCAGAGGCTGACGACGATGGAGCATGGGCTGGATGTAACAGCGGGAATAGTAGGGCGGAGATGCGCCGTTCTCCTTCGAGATGGGGACCCACGAGATGGATGTACAGGTACATGTACACATGACGATTAGTGTCCGCGGAGGCTGAACATGACTCTATGCAGGGCCGATTAACGATTGATATGACAGCCCTTTACAAGGTGTTGCAGCCCGATTTGTAAAGTATATTCGCAAGGGATTGCCCTCGTTGCGGTGGTATTCGTCGCTTACAGCCAACTGCTTTCTGCTACCCGCGACAAGCCCGGCACTTGGTTGTTATTCCACCCCACGGACGAAACACGATCAATTTGATGTGTCGTCCAGAACGCCTATTATGGCGCCCGGAGGTTCTCAGGCTCTTTTGTGGATCGAAATCGTACGCGAATAGTTTCATGTAGACCTCAGTCTCGACCTCGACTCTGACTGACACCACCGGGTATGGTACCAGTCGTACACCGGTAACATCGGTGTATATTCGTGGTATATCACATTCGCATTCGCGTTCGGACCGATACACTGATTTTTCAAATCCCATGCGGCTTTCATGATTGTGTTTTGATCACAACATCACATGTATTGAGATTGATGGATTTCGACGCGGCCCATGGGATTGCCAGCCTAAGGATTGGACGACACCAACATGAAAATGTTCCAGATGATTGTGATCGATGCGAACAGAAGAGAGGAACAGGAACAGTTTTAGATGGACGATGCTTCCGAATCCAAGTCTTTTGGACTTCGAAGACATGTATGTGTGGATTTCTGGCTACGCGTGACAGATACATGGGTCGTCAGCGGCGATATTTTGAATATTTGAGATAGCCAAGACAAAGACATAGATCCTCTGGCACAGGTTTTGGAAGTTTCTGAGAACTTGTAGCCATGAAGTAAGGTAGCATAACGTGTAGAAGAGCGGACGTAGAGCGGTGCAGGTGGGCTGCACCTTGCTGTATTAGGACGAACCGAGGTGGGGCGATGAGCTCACATCAAGCACGAGGAAACACCAAACGACGCGTTCCGACGCGACAACCCGCGCAATCGTTTGTTTGCGACTTCCCAATTCCATTCCACGACGTCCGACGCCGTCACGCGACTCAAGATGTTTTCGTTGCCTATGATCGCGCCGCGCCCAGTAAGTGCATCTGGAAATACTCCAAACACAGGCCATACCAGAACAGCAATTGACAATATCTCCAGGACGCCAGCCTCTGGCCCTCCCACCACACCACCCACGCCGCTTTCGAAGATACCCACCCGAATTCCCCGCCAGACACAGCCCACGGCCAAAACCAGCGACGCCCTACCTCGCACCATGGCCCTCGTCGCATTCAAAACCAGTTCCTCGCCAGTCTAGCCGCCGACGAAAACACAATCGCCCAGCGTAAGCTCAATGTTCGCAGATTCGGCGCGGGCTGGATCCGCCCGCCCGGTGTCACCAAAACACTCCAAGCCAGGGAGGACGAAAAGTTCGAGAAGGAGGAACAAGAGATGATGCAGCGCAGAGAGCAAGCTATGATGGATTTGGCAGCCGCACAACAAGACGCCGCAAATGAGGAACAAAGGGAGAGAGGAGAGATGGCGGAAGAGGCTGGAGAAGGCGAAGAAGAAAGAGACCTTGACGACGAAGTCCCAGAGGCCGAAAGTACACCCAGCGCATCCGCCTCCGAGGCCTCCAGTGACGAAGAATCAGAGGAGGAAGCTAGCGAAGTCAGCGGCGATGTCCAGGAAGAAAGCACAGTACCGTTCAACGAGGACAGCTTCATTGAGGGCAGCATGTTGGAAGCAGAAGTATCGCATATGTTGGAGATGGAGGAGGCGGAGATGGCAGGCGTCCTGCAAGATGAGCGCGATCTCGATGACGATGTACCAGAAGCCGGAAGTTACGAACACACGGATTCCGAACTCGAAGATGATAGCGACGTGGATAATAGCGCCCTTCCACCTGGTCTGGCTTCCGCGCGTTCGACACGTTCACATAGACGCCGCTCCAGTGGACGCCGTGTTTCAAGCCGCAGAAGTTCGGGATTGCCTGGGGGCATGATGTTTGGAGGCGGACATCCCGCTGTTGGAAGGGTTAGTCTGGGTGTTGATCTGGGTAATGGGCGTAGTAGCTTCGGCATGGATGGCAGTAGCTCGCTGCTTGAAGGCAGCTCGTTCTTGAGGAGCTCACCTGCAGGGAATGCGGCTGCTAACAGGGGTAGTCTGAGAGATAGGTTCTTGGGGGCCGCGAGGGGTGGCGGTGGAGGAGGCGGAAGGAGGGCTTGATGTTGAAGTGTGGTAATGATTATGAATGTACGATATAGATACCCAGTAGCTCGATAGAGCCTGATTGTATTCAGATGAGCAACAAGTTTGTTTCATGCTACCGATACACAAGCCACGAGGTACCATCCCATTCTACCATCGCTTCTACCCATGCCAAACACGACCGGGACGACAACATTCCCCTACACCTCAGCTAGCATCTCCTCAAACGCCTTCCCGAGAAAGCTACCTGCCTCCCCAAATATCTCTGCGCGCTTTGTTCTCTCTTCGTCGGAGTCCAAGTCCATGACATGTCTTACACACCGCATAGAATCTTCCAGGGCGTCTCTGCCTTTCAGCAGCAGGTAGTACTCCAGACGAGTCTCTATGGAGCACTCTCCATCCACACACTCGCCAACGTAGTCTCCATCGACTGCGCCGCTCAGCTGATAGATACGCTGCTGCCATTCGTCGTCGGCAACGGTCATCATCTCTTCCATTCCGCGTAGCATCGACGCCAATGTAGGTCCCGAGCTACTGTGGATGGCCCAAAGTGCGTTCAGCTTGCCAATGGTGGCGTCGATAAACTTGTGGTCGGACATGAGGTCATGAGCGATCGAGCGAAGGGCTTGTTTTGGGCCCAAACAAATCGGGTCTGATTTGGCGACCAATATGTGTTCCTTGTTGTAGAGTTGAAGGTGAAATGGGGTTCTGAAGTCTTCTAGCACCGAGAGTGGTGGAGAAAAGGTGAAGGTGTCTGCTTCTAGCTCTTCCGGCGTCAGGATGCTGATGAGGTATATGAGGCTACCACTATTCCACTCGATAGGCTCATCCATGTCATCGGAAATCGGTGAGGAGGGCGCTGTGGACGAACCATCCATGCTGGACAGACTTACGCGAGAGCCGCGGGAGGAGGGAGGGGTCCATTTGAGGTTAGGAACCCATTGAACACCAAGCTCGCCCAGAATAGTGTGCTGGATGTTGTGAGATACATTGTCGCTGTCATAGTCAGGCTTGCTGCTGGTGTTGACCTTGAGGAATACATCGGTGTCGACGGTCTTCATAGGCTGCGTAGGAGACTCGGCGTATCTCTCACTGAAGGGGTTGGCGGAAGTTGCTGCTGACGTGGCCATCATGTCGGATTCAGCGTGATTGCTGATCTGAGCGCTGTCAGGGGGATTGATGGAAAAGAGCAGATGGTGACGCTGAGTGTGGGAGACGGAGCTGTCAGGAGTAGAAACTGCGAAGACGACGGGTATTAATAGGGTTCGCTGGCTCATCGAACAATGGCTGGTGACAGTGGCTATTCAAGCCCCGCGGTAATCATGAAGGCGCAATGTTGCTGCGGTGAACCGCCTGATTCACGTAGCATTGTCTGAAGATGGGAAACGCGGCAATAAGAAGCTACGGTAGAAAATGAATGCGGGTACATTGACGAAGGGGTCGGAGTGTAGCAGATCACCTGTTGTACGTGACCTATAGTTGCAGCAAACTGATAGCTTCATCACCTTACAAACAGTCGTGCAGTGATTCGTCCGTCATGCATTTCAAGTGATGTCGTTCATTTTCCTTGTGTCCATCCCAGCGGTAATTATATACAAAGCTCAGTGGGTCGCAAAGATGTTGCGTGTGCGCAGGTGGACTGGGGTCTCGCCCTTTGGCGCATCTGGTATCGTCTTCTCCAATTTCTGAAGTGGTGTTAGCGAAAGACGTAAGGCACAACGATAACCGCGACATACCAACTTCTCGAATACACACTTGTTGAGCTTGCGCTCTTCTGACCGGCAGTTCCAGAGTTGTTGGTTGTGGTTCTCTAGGCATTGCCAGTGGGTGCGGAACTGTTCCAGGCAGTTCTCGTTGATGTCCTTGATACTGCCACTGCTGTCAATACCCAGGGTTCTATATTGGGCCTTCCGCCAGTACGTACACGCTAGCCGCACACCTGGTGACCTTGCGGCCTTCCTTCATGCAGTCAAACTCTCCCCGGCCGTTGGCCTCGGTCTTGCACATCATGTAGTCATCGTTGTAGGCCTTGCATCGTGCGCCAATGAAGAACGAGGCACTCAGGAGGGGCGCAGAACTGGCTCCGAGCTCCTTGACCTTGGGGATGTCGTCGGGTAGAGGGGTGGTGTCGATGAGGGCTTGCTGGTTGAACCTGCAAATTAGTCAGCATATGTGAGCGCCATGAGATTGGCAGAGAGCGCTTACCTGGGCTGGCGCGACGACATCTTGAGGGTGAGGTGCCAATGGCGGGCTATCGGCTCACGAATTGGCGATGATGCTCGTGAGGTCGTCGCGGAAGTCGGTCTTGGCGCTCACTAAAACTGGCAGGGATGCGATGGGCCGCGCTTGTGCCTGACCTTTGTGAGCGAGAGACAACAATCTCTCACTGCGCCATCTGCACCTCCACCGCGCCCTTACACGCCTCTCCTGCTTCTCATCAATCAGGATGCGCGCCGATTGATTGTTTTTGTGAATAATACCAGCGCCTACTTTCAGCGATCGCCTCCTTCGCGTGCCTGCGCGCGACCGAAAACAAACATTGGAAGCTCCTCCATCCGCGACCTGAATAACGTCACTCGTTCGAATCACTATCGAATCTGCCCAGAAGGACACGCGCATACTACGACTTCTATTCAACATGTCTTTTAGCTTTGGAAACCCGGCAGGCGGAGAAAAGAAGACGGGCACTCTGTTTGGAAGCACCACAGCACCAGCTGGCGGTCTTTTCGGTCAATCGCAGCAGCAACAGCCGCAGCAGTCGAACACGACACAGTCCAGCCTCTTCGGCTCATCAACCGCCCCTCAACAGAACAACACCAATAGCCTGTTTGGCTCGACACAGCCGCAGCAACAGCAGCAGAACTCGGGATCGAGCTTGTTCGGCCAGCCCCAACAACAACAGCAGAACGCAGGCTCAAGCCTCTTCGGACAACCTCAGCAGCAACAACAAAATGCCGGCTCAAGTCTGTTTGGCCAGCCTCAGCAGCAACAGCAACAGCAACAGCAGCAGCAGCAGCAGGGGCAGCAACAACAGCCAAACATGAGCAACAGCCTCTTCGGCGCCTCATTGCAGCCTGCGCCCGTCCTGAACAACATTCAGGCGCAAAGCATCCAACAACAGCGCGAAGGGCTTCCGCAGTTGCGCCAGTCCTCCGCGCAACCTTTCGCTGCTAATACCATGAACGGTCACAGTACGGCACCTCGAAATCACCGCTGAAGTCGCGCTAACACTTGCCAGGAGAGAAGTCGGTCATCGAGCAGATACGGATCCTGAATAACAAGTGGGATCCCAGCAGCCCCGAATGCGTCTTCCAATACTACTTCTACAACTCGGTCAAGCCTGAAGAAGCGCCCTTCTATGGTCCCTCGCAGGGTGAAGACGAACGGAAATGGGAGGAGGCTTTGTCTAAGAAGCCAAGTCCAGGTGCTATTCCCGTGCTTGCGCGTGGCTTTGAGCAGGTTGGAGAACGCATCAAGCAACAAGCCGCCGCTGTCACCGCGCTACGAACCCGCCTGCACGAGATCAATAATGCACTGTCGCTTCTCAAAGACGCCCATGAGCTGACGGTAGCATCGCGCATCACCGAAGCTAAGCGCAAGCATGTCGTCTTCACTCAGCGGACACTGGCCCTTGCAACTAAGGTCCAGATCTTACGAAACCGGGGATACGTTATGGATCAGCCAGAGGAGGAACTGAAGAAGAAGCTCATCGAGTTGGAGAAGCAGACCTTTGATCCTGTACTTGGCGGGCGACAAGAGGAAATCTGGGCGCGCATGTCCGGTGTGCGGGAGCGGGCGCGCATCCTACAAGAGGAGACTGAGAAGCTGGGCAAGACGATTGACCAGCAGCAAAATGGTGAACTTCTTACAGATGAAGATCAGAAGGCGTTGGAGAAGGTAAGAAGCCCATTCCATGACCCCTCACATATGCTAACAACGTCTCTTAGCTCCTCAAAGACTACGACCGACAACTCGAGCACCTCAAGAAGTGGGTCGACGACACCAGAGACGAATACGACGAGTGGGAGACTGCAAAGCAATCAAGGCCAGCAAAGCGATAAGGGTATAATACGAGGGCGCATTTGTCATGTACGATTCATAGGTGATGTAGAGGTTATATTGCGAAAAGTTGGGCGTTGCGAGATACCATGCAGCAGCGGACGGATGCATAGAAGGCGTACAATCAAGCGTTGCATAATGTTCATCGTCTCATCATTGCGCACATGTCAGATGGCGTTTGGTGAGTTCTCTTTGCTTCCAGACGTATGCGTCGATCCCCGTATACTGTAAGGGTATTTGTGTCCGTTTGACCAGTAATGTTACAAGCGCATGTATCCCCTAGGCCATGCGAGTATGTTGTACAGTAGTTCGTTGGTATGTTGCTTCATTGTTCCGTCCCATTTATGCGTACACCTGTTCATTTCCAGCGCTATGAATTCTGTGAACGGGTTCGTAATCGCGGGAGTAGTCGTTGCTTAGAAGAGCTTCGAGACGTATTCGACGAGATGTGGTGCTGTAGAGTGTTAGTCTCTGTCCCGTCGTGATGTAGTTCCAAGCATTCTTACAGAAGTACAGCACGACAGCGCTGGCAGCTGTCCACTTGATATCGGTCATAGTCTGTGCCTCGGCCGCGGCAAGCTCCTGCTTGGATGGTTGTGGTGGTGCTGTCATGCACGTCAGCCTCGTTGTCTTGAATGCGGCAAGCCCTGGCAAAAGTTACCTCCGAACATTCTGGCGGTGTCTTGTATGAGGTGTGGGGTGAGGCTATAGAAGGGGCTGTAAAGCGACAGGCGGTATGTAAGTTGGGTATCTCGAAGATGACGTTTACGGTGCACTTGGATACGCAAAAGTTTGGATTGTCGGCGTTTGGGCTGCGATATTGCCGATGCGGTCGGTCACGTGGTTGCGCGCGCCCTCATTGCAAGGCTGGTCCCGAGGTCGCTCGTTCTGCTCGCCCTTTCCCTCCAGCATGAACAGCAGAAATTACTCTGAACCCTCTTTCTCGGCTGTTTGGTTCAGCATGGCAGGACTCTCTTTCACGCAGGGCGACCGACAGTAGTTCATCAAGTCTTCTGTCCCTCAATCTATGGGTGACAAGAAACCCGTTTGCTCGAACACTGAACGCCTTTCACTCGGACCTGATTATCAGTCCTCGGAGATTTCAATTCCTCCTCATCCCGACTGGCAGGTCGAGCATGTTTGATTAACTGTACGAACAAGCTGTCCTGTACAACAAAACGGACCGATGTACACTTGAACGGACATGCTGTTCACTCATCAACCCGCATACCCTTGACATATTTTCTTTGGAGCTGACACGAATTCTATCAATCCCCAACTTCAACCTCCCAATCTGGCAATCTCCAATACTTCGATGACCAGCCCAAACCGAGACCAGGCCCCAGGCTGAAGCAAAGGCGCATTTCTTCAACCCCCAATTATGTCATTTCCACATGCTGTCATCTCTGGTAACATGCACCTTCCTATAGGATCTTGTTGCATATATCAAGGTGCATCTGCCCCACCTTATACAAGTGAGAACTGAACACCATAGAGCCTACGTTGACGTTGGATCACCTATATTGCATGTTTTCATTTTGATGTAGGCTCCAGGGTGTTCGGTTTTCCCTCGTATAAGGTGCCCATGTCTTGAACCTACACAGGGCACGGAACCAGGTCAGTGAAGCTCGTGGCGCGGTGATGTCGAATTACCGGGAATAAACCCGCAGGCACGTACACCTGCCGAAATCTGGGGGCGAGATAGAATGAACAGGCAGGTGCGAGTACATTCAGCAGCCTACAACAGCATACAACTCGCAGGTTACAACTTCTAAGAACAATGTAGGCTTCTAACGTATGTACTTGTTCTTCTGATATGTAGCGATGCGGTTAGCGTTGCCTCAGATGAAGTGATGGTTTTCTATTCATTGCGAGGCTAACGCAGGAGGCCGAGACTCAACAATGCACCCGCGTGCCCGCAGTCCGTGGAGGCATCATGCGCCCAACGTGCAGGTCGTACAATCTGTGTCGCCCCCATCCAGGACTCCGGAATTGGTATATGGTTTGATTGCGAAAGCTAACATTGGGCTAGCTGGCGCTGCAATGATCCGTTGCGAACCGGTGAACTAAATGTTTCAGATCTTCTAAACACGCCGTCAACAAGAACGCCACAGATTCCGATCCGAGCCCGAACAGCAATGCACCGCGCAGCCTGCGTGCCCAATCAGCGAAGCAAATACGCATGGCTGATCGCCGGATGTAGTCGCGGTCGATCGGCCCTACAACGACCCCAAATGATGACAGGGGCGACAAAAGATCCGCCCCTACTCGTGCTGTATTAATACGTGATGTTGCGGAAGTCTGACGGCCTTCAACTTCTGTTGTTCACTTTCCCGTCGCTCTTTACGTTCTTTATCGAAGATGTTGCTTTCCGCATCTTCCGTTGTGTTGGTATTGTACTCTTCTTGCGCAATCGCGCTGTCCGCTCCTTCCAACAACGGCTATGTCCATGGGTCCTCCAACCTACACTTCGCGCCCCGCCACGCCCATCCCCACGCAAGACCTCGCCAATCTGTAGATCAGGATGCGTTATGTGCTCCATACTGGATGGAAAATATCAAACACCAGGGCATTGCTAGCTACAATCCGAACCCTGGCAACTACACCGTCTTCCGGAATGTCAAGTCTTTTGGCGCAGTCGGCGATGGAGTCCATGATGATACTGCCGCTATCCAGAGAGCGATCTCATATGGTGGCAGATGTGCGCCTGGAACTTGCGGGAGTTCTACTAATCAGCCTGCTGTTGTGTACTTTCCAGGTGGTACATACAAGATCTCGAGTGCTATCATCGACTATTACTATACTCAGGTATGAACACCTCCAGTGCAATCAAGATGGGATCACCAAAGTCAGCCAAGTAAAAAAAGGAAGCGTACCCTAGAAGTTACACTGACTTCTGACTCATCTACATACGGATGAAGATGTGGTGCATACTTGTAGGGTACATGCAACATGTCGGATTTTACTTGGGATCGGGCACTTTTGTGAAAGGTGTGGAACGTTATGACTGACTCATTAAAGATCATCGGAAACCCAAACTGTCTTCCTACCATCCAGGCTGCGTCCAACTTCTCCGGCTCAAGTTTCGGCCTGATCGACGGCTCTCTATACGGCGACAATGGACTTGGTTTCGGTCCTACGGTCACCTTCTTCCGCCAGATTCGGAACCTCATCATTGACACAACAAAAATGTCGGCTAAGGATTCACCCACCGGAATTCATTGGCCAACTGCACAGGCGACGAGTATCCAGAACGTGATTTTCAACATGAATGCCGAAAACGGAACGCAACACCAAGGTCTCTTCGTTGAGGCAGGATCCGGTGGTTTCATGACTGACCTCGTTTTCAACGGTGGAAACAAGGGATTCATCGTCGGAAACCAGCAATTCACCACTCGAAACATTACCTTCAATCATGTCACCACCGCTATTGAGCAGCTCTGGGATTGGGGCTGGACGTACAAGTCAGTCTCGATCAACAACTGCCAGGTTGGACTCAATATGACCAACGGTGGTCCTTCTGCAGTCAATGTGGGGTCAATCACCTTCTTTGACAGCGAGATCACAAACACCCCGATTGGTATCGTTACCTCCAGGACCAAGAACTCCGAGCCTGCTGCTGCCGGATCCCTTTACCTGGAAAATGTTAAACTCGACAATGTCCGTACCGCTGTAGCTGGTCCCAACGGAACGTACTTGGCAGGATCTTCTGGTGCTTCGACTATCGAAGCTTGGGCTGACGGTCACCGATACCTGCCTCAAGGTCCCGTAGAGGTGCGTGGCGCTATTGACCCAACCAAGCGCCCGGCAGAACTGTTGGGTGCGGATGGCAAATACTACGAGCGCTCGAAGCCTCAGTATAGCGATGTTCCCCTGTCGCAGTTCCTCTCCGCTCGTGATCTTGGTGCCACTGGAAACGGTCGAACCGACGATACCGATGCTCTCAACGCCGCGATCCTCCAAGCCAACGCCGAGGGAAAGATCCTCTTCATCGACGCCGGCTACTATTTGGTCACCTCTACAATTTACATCCCACCCGGTGCCACCATCATTGGAGAAGCCCTTGCCTCTGTGATTCTTTCCTCCGGCGCCTACTTCAACGACATGGCCAACCCCAAGCCAGTCGTCCAAATCGCCCGACCAGGCGAACAGGGCCGAGTGGAGTTGTCCGATCTCTTCGTCAGCACAAAGGGCGCGCAGGCTGGTGCCATTCTGATTGAGTACAATCTTGGTACCTATACCGACGAGCCTGCTGGTCTTTGGGATGTGCATGCGCGTATCGGAGGATTCGTGGGATCAGACCAGCAAGTCAAGCAGTGTGGAACAACGCCTAACATTACGACCACTGCCGCGAATCTGAAGGAGGAATGCATTGTATCCTACATGACTATGCATCTCACCAAGTTCAGTGCAGGACTGTACATGGAGAACAACTGGCTGTGGACTTCTGATCATGACCTCGACGGTGACGGCCAGCTCACTCTCTATGCTGGCCGTGGTCTGCTTGTTGAGAGTATCAACGGGAGGATATGGCTGTGAGTTTTCCAAGCTTTGTAGTTTCGCCAATGGTCACTAACCTTATCGCAGAACCGGCACGGCAGTCGAACACCACGTCCTCTACGAATACCAGTTCGTCGATACCAAGAACATCTTCATGGGTCAGATCCAAACGGAGACAGCCTACTACCAGCCCAACCCCGATGCCACTCTACCTTTCCCAAACAACCCAGCGCTGTCTGACCCAGTCTTCACACACAAGGCTCTGAATGAAACGAACTCTACGTCCACCAGCGCTGCATCCGGCTGGGGTCTGCGCATCCTCCGCAGCAACAACATTCTCGGCTACGGAATAGGCCTGTACTCTTTCTTCAACAACTACTCGACGAACTGCTCGCGGGTTACGGAAGACGAAAAGTGCCAGTCGACCATTCTGTCGATTGAAGGGGGCCGCAACACGTACGATATCAATCTCTACAACGTGAACACCGTTGGTAGCACTGAGATTATCACGCGCGACGGCGTAGAGTTGGCGGACAACAAGGACAACAACAGCACCTTTGCAGACACCGTCAACGTGTTCAGGATCGGTAGTCTCGGTCTTGATCTAGATATTTCGTTGTAGATTAGATTGTATCAAGTGTCCTCTGGTTCGGTCGATTTTTTTTTGGTTTTTCAACAGCAACCACGGTACCATCCCAACCACAAGTGCGGTACATCATGTGCTCTATGCCGCTGCCTAGGGGATGGTCGGAGTATGAAATTTCGCCTTTTGGATTGTACTTAGTGGGGCTTTTCCTGTATACAAATTTTTCCACCCCTTAACTCCACCACCACATGACCAATCTTTCCCAAACTTCATATTCACACCAATTCCTCGTCTTCTCATCCAATCAACGTCCGATATGGTCTAGTGGCTAGGATTTGCCGCTCTCATCTGCAGAGTCAGTTCACTGTTCAGTGCCGGCAAGGCCCGGGTTCGGTAAGCTTCCTCGATTACCCCTCAGTTCGATCTCCTCTAACAACGATTCAGATTCCCGGTGTCGGAATATCATCTTCTTTTTGCTCTCTGCATACTATAGAATATGTAGCAAGAGAAATAGAAGCACTTTTTTACTTTTTGCTAAAGGGTCGAAATCTTTTTTTTAGTGGGGTTCGGGGTCGAGGAGATTCCAGCTCAGGGCTGTTATATGAGACCGCATCAGGTCAGAGAGCGTCTTCCTTAGCATAGACAGTGTCTCTTGTTACATTTTTAGCCTCTAAGGGAATGTCGTAGTCAATTTATATCATACTTACTTCAAATCATCGGCACGACCTTGGTCAGTATACATGATGAGCATGAGTACTAGTTGACACAGGAAATGACAGCATTCAGGTTGAGCTCAGAAGAACAAGACTGTATTTGATAGTGTACAAGAAGCTGGCTAACCCACACACCAACTCTGAAACTGCAAGTAACGCCCGCTATGCAATTTTACCATGCGTAGACCCCAGGTGTATATCAGAGTACCAATGTGACGTCCAGAGCAGCGGATCAATGACCTTGTCTAAAGCCGAACAGAAAAGAAAACGCAAACCGCATGTGAATGGCGTCATGAGACCCAGCTCAGCGCCTGCCTCCGCTGCGACCACCCCTGATTTGCTTCATGATATCCACGTTGCTCGAACGGCTGCGTGCATTCTCGTTGAACACAACGTTGCTCTTCGGCGCAATGGTATACGTAGTGGGACCAGACTCCATGCGAGCACGCTGGAATGCCTTGGGAGCTTCGAGCTGCTTCTTTCGGTTGGCTGCGTAGGCGGCAGCTTGGCTGCTGGCAGCGGACCTGTCGGTAGTCTTGATTTGGCTAGGGTTGTTAGCATATATAGCGAAATATGAAGGCGCAGCACATACCTCGGGTCGTAGTCGGCCTGAGCAAACTCCTTCTTGCGGTAGTCGTCTGTCCGCCTAAGGATGGGACGCGTCCAGTCTGTGAAGAGGCGCTCGGCTTGTCGCTTGATGGTCAACTCGGGCTTCTTGCTCTTGATGTAGAACATGATGACCTTGCCGATGCCAGATGCAACAAGCGTGTCCTTGTTGACAGGCAACTTGGCTAATGAGGCCATGAGATCCTTCTGAATGTCGTACGCGGGAAGACTACCATCGCTGAGGGGCTCCAAGAAGAAGCGCACCGATTCGAGCAGGTTCACTTCGGGGTCCACAATAGTATCTCTGAGTGTGTTCTTGTTCAGGAGGGCGGTGACTTCTGGCAGAAGTTTGAGCTTGTGTCTTGCAGGCTCGTTGCGCTTTCGACCTTCGTTGTCGGCTTCGGCGGCAGCTGCCATACGGCGGCGCATCTCCTCAATCTCTTGGTCGGCCATTTGTTCAAGGTCAATGCCATCCTTCTTGCGGCGGCGGTTCGAGCTGGTGCTAACGATGCTGTCGATTTGGGCATTAAGCTGCTTCTTTCGTCCTAAAGTCACAGTTAGTAGATATGAGGGTCTAGGTATGGTCGTACGTACGTTCTTCCGGAGTCAGATGCTCGTCTGGATCGCCCTCTGGGCTTGCGGCTCGGACCCTGCCTGCCTTCTTGGACCGCTTGCTTCGCCTGTCACCCTCTGCAATATCACCGTCATCGTCGCCATCCTTGTTCTTCTTGCGGCGAGGCTTTTCAGCCCTCTTTTTCTTCTTCTTTGGCTCTTCACCCTCAGCAGCAGTGCGCTTTCGCTTGTGTACACCAATCTGCTTGACGTTGTCTTCGTCGATCGCTTGCGCCGGGCGCTCGTCAATAGCAACATTGTTGATATCGAAATCGCCAAACTGCTCGTCCATTTGGTCATCGTCTAGCGCCTCAGAAAGCACCGACTCGTTGTCTGACAAGCCAGCCTCGACGTCGTCCTGGTCAGGCATCTCGCCGGGTCGGTCCTCTGTCACCTCCATATCTTGGTCTGGATCACCGATAGGGGGGTTCGGGGTGGCATTCTCCTCGTCGATTTCGGGGCGCAGCGGATCAGCTGGGTCGTTGCCAGCCGCTGGTAACGGCGACCTCGAATGCGATCGGTTGAACTCAACGTCCTCCATGCTGGCTATTTGGGCCTGGTTCGTCGAAGTCGGGGTATCCGTGAGAAAGCGCGGAGGATGCGAGATCGATTAACGGTGACTTGTCGCGGTAAAGGTGGACCAGGCGCGAACGTCGATCGAGAGATGTCAAGGAAAGTTCAAGGGAGCGCGACAGCCATGACGCGCGGTGATACTATTTGCCGGACCCGGGCTTGGCAAATGGGGGCGCGGCTGGTTCGCGATTGTCAAAGACCGCAGCCGCTCCTCCACCTTTGTTCCTACAAATCACTCGCCTGACCACCAACCTCAGGCCCCCACCATCACGACAACCCCGACAACGTCTCACAGAGTCTACTCGACGCTGTTTATCAGCTTCGCAACTGACGAAGCTCATCCTAGACGACACCCTACTAGGCGCCGCCGTCGTCGCAGCACCTGAGTCACTTTGGGTCTCTATTGCGACACTTCCGCAGTTGCGCATCACCGCCTCATTGTTGGCTTGAAGGGGGAAGGGCATACATACAGAAGGAGGATTGCAGTAGCTGGAGGAGAGCGAGTTTGTTACTGCCTAGCTGTACCGGCGCAGTCTTCACACTGCGTCATTTGGCGCGGCCATAGCTAGTATCCAACACAAGCACTGTCATTACGTGTGTTCGTCGAGAGCGAGGAAGCATATCGTCTATCTTGTTCATCTGGCATCGACATCGTCAGCGTTGCGACTCCCCGACCGCAGAGTCAGCCGCTCACCCTGCCCTTTGCGCGCAAGTTTCACGTCTTCTAACACAGCACACATCCCCTCTTGTCTAACCCCAGATATTCTTGCCCATCATGTCTGTGTCAGCTGCTGAAGTGGCTGCCGACTTTCGGGATGCCCTGCAAGATTTGAGGATGAACAGCAGACCTGAGATTAGCAATCTAACCCTCATCGCCAAAGAAAACACAGAGTATGCGGAAGCCATATCCAATGAGCTTCAGAAGCATATCCAATCGGTACGTCCTGGAACCGTGTAGACTAACAACTCTATCATTCAGTTCAAACTTACTTTATCCACCGGTGACTGACATGGCATAGACTCGCCCCGAATGGAAGCTTCCAGCCCTCTACGTCCTTGATTCGATTGTTAAGAATGTTGGCACGCCATACACCGTCTACATTGGTCGCAACCTTTACAGAACCTTCATGGACGCCTATCTCGTGATGGATCAAAACACACGCAAGAACATGGAAGGCTTGCTGAGGACGTGGAAGATGCCCGTGCCCGAGTCGATGGACCCTCGCCCTGTGTTTCAAGCCGACGTGACACAGGACATCGAGAATGCACTGGCTAAATTCCGCGCAGCTCAGCAACAGATTCGGCCGCAACACGCGCTTCCCCCTCGTCCTCCGTCACTCAATGTCGCCTGGAGGGGTACATCCACGCCACCGCAAACTGGACCACGTTATGCCGCTCCCAATGATCCGCGTGCTCGACCGGTAGGTTTTCAATACGATCTTCAGACAATCTTGCTAACAAACCTTCCAGTCACAACCCCCGACACCTCAATATCCACCATCACACGCATCCACACCACCTGTATACCAGCAACCTCAGCCCATGTCGTCTGTTGATCTTGCCGACTTGAAGGTGGAATTGACACAGCTTATCAGCACAACACAGAACATGTTCGCGCATAACCCAGCTGACGCTGCTCTACGTACAAAGTTGTCGGCACTCTTGTCCCTCAAGCAGATCCTGGACACACAGACGTTGCCTCCTCAACAACTAGAGGCCGTACGTCAACAGGTCCGAGCATTAGCACCTCCACCAGCACCAACACCGACCTTTGCTCCTTCTACGCCAGTGTACCCACCACAACAGGCAATGCCCCAAGGCTATCCACCTAACTTCTCTCCGATGGGTGCACCTCCGAGCAGCGCTCCGCCGAATGTCGCGCAACTTCTGGCAGGCTTCCGACCACCACCACAATCGACTCCGCAACCCGCACCAACCCCGAATCCACCGGCCTTGAACTTGGCAGAGCTACTCAAACGTGTGTCTTCCCCAGCACAGCCGAACTCAGTACCTGCCCCAGCCCCGTTTCAGATGCCATTCCAAGGCTTCCCGCCCCCAGTCTCGACTCCGGTACCGGCACCTCAGGCTCCTCCGCCGACCCAGTCCGCGACACCCACTGCCAATCTCGCTGCTCTGCTTGCGCAGTTCAGCAAACCCGGTGCCGTGCCGCCCTCAATGCCACCCACGCCTGTGCAGAGCACTCCCGTTCCTCAGTTACCACAACAACCTGTTGCTGCGGCTCCAGCCCTTGGATCCGCCGAGTGGCTTTTGAAAGCTCTGGGTGGTGTACCTGGTGGTATATCTGCAAAACCAGCGCCAATTCAATCCCAGCCGGCCACACAACAGCCACTTGCGCCGGGTAGTTTGATGGAACAGATCGAACTCACCACGGCATCAATGAAGAAACCTCGTCTTCACCTCATCTCCCGCCTTTACGAAGCCAAGCCCAACATCTGCGCCACATGTGGCCGTCGCTTTGAGAGCACACCCGAAGGCAAAGAGAAGAAAGCACGCCATATGGACTGGCATTTCAAAGTCAAGGATCCAGATGCCGCCAAGCGAGGTGTACACCGCAGCTGGTACATTCCCGAAAAGGAGTGGATCGAGTACCGCGAAGTCGACGAGACAGCCCCCAACCAGTCCAACGACGGTTCCTCTGGTACAGGTGGTGCTAAACCGAAGAAACAGGCCAAAGATCGCTACGTGAGCGTACCACAAGACGTCACACTACAGCAGGCACCGTGCCCCATCTGCCAGGACAAATTCGAGACGCAGTGGAATGTGGAGGCCAACGACTTTGTGTGGATGGATGCCGTAAGCGTGGGTGGTAAGATATACCATGCTACTTGTTTTGAGGAGGTTTATGGTAAGGGTGTTGGTATTGAGGCGCCAGGCACGCCTGACTCAGTACTTGGAAAGAGGAAGGCAGATCTTGGTGTTAATGGGGAGGGAAAGAAGGTTAGGGCTTATTAGGCATCAGTGTCTACTTTGAGCCGTTGATTCTTGGCCAATTTTCAGAGAAGGCAACGATGGTGGGCTTTTGCAGCATAGCGTGGCGTTTTGACTCAGCCATATAATATTTGGGCTTCTACGTAATCTCCATGGATGGTAATCAATGGTAGCAATCACATATTTCAATACATGGATGTCTCCTACTTCGACTCGTATATTCCGTCATGATACATCTATGTACAAGTTCGCGTCCCAACTTTCTACACCCACTCCTTCGGACTCTTGAGGACTTCGATTAACCGTTCCTCCCTGCTACCCTTTGCAGGTTCATGCATATACTGCCACCTTGCCGTAAGAGGCAAACTCATGAGAATACTTTCGACCCGAGCACCAGGTGTATTCAGACCAAAAGCCGTTCCACGGTCGTGCACAAGGTTGAACTCGACATAGCGTCCTCTACGGATCTGCTGCCACTGCTTCATCTCGTCCGTGTAGGGCATATCCTTCCGCCTGTTGATGATGGGCAGGTAGGAAGGCAGGAAAGCAGACAAGCAGTCTTGTATGAAGGAGAATAGTTGTTCCTGATCCTTCTCCGTCTCGTCGAGGTCGTCAAAGAAGATGCCGCCTACACCTCGTGTCTCGCCCCGGTGCTTGTTGCTAAAGTACTCGTCGCACCACTTCTTGAATCGCGGGTAGTATGCTTTGTCGTGCTTATCGCAGGCTTGCTTGATAGCGCCGTGGAAGTGTATCGCATCTTCATCGTAAAGGTAAGAGGGTGTGAGATCGCAGCCACCGCCGTACCACCATGCGTTTGTGTTTCCCAGCTCGTCGGCGGTCTCGAAGTAACGATAGTTGAGGTGCACGGTCGGTGCGTTGGGGTTGTGGGGGTGAAGGACCATGGATAGGCCTGCGGCGAAGAACTCGAGCGAATCGACATTGGGGTCGAGAGCTTTGTGGTTTGCGCGCATCTTCTGTATGGCGGCTTTAGGCAAGCGCCCGTATACGACTGAGGTGTTCACGCCTCCCTTCTCGAACACGTTGCCGTCTTGCAGGATACAAGTGATGCCACCACCGCCTTCTGGTCGCTGCCATGTGTCGATCTTGAACTTGGTGCCATCGACCTTTTCCAGCTCAGCCACGATTTCCTTCTGGTTCTGCTTTATGAACTGCTCCATTCGGAGGCGCATGGGTGATTGCTCCGAGACGCCATTCTCACGCTTGAGCAGGGCATCCTTCTCGGCGATGGAGGGTGCTTCGGTCTTGATGGTATCGTCCGTCCACTGTGACATGGTCAATAAGGTTCAAAGCAATATTCAGGGTCTCTGTGTACCATGGAGTAGACCAAGGCCCCAATGAAGGGTACAAATAGCAACCGTATCCTGTTCGGCCATTTGCTCGGTGGAGGATTACGCCATTCTTCCAAAGGATCCGGCTTCTCCGGTTTCTTGCCGGAGGGTAGGTCTAGGCGGCGTCTTGGTGAAGCGTGTAATTGTCTATTGCAGATGTGATACGGCCGTAGTGTTGGTTGCGGCGCATGGCTGTGGGGGAGCTCGAGAGCTCTTGAGATGCGGAGGGAAGATCGGAATGGACGCATGGCGGGCGTGTGGAATCTTGAGAAGACGTTCACCGCGTGGAAATCATTGGAGGTGTGTGATAGTCGCGAATTGATTTATGTCAAGTCTGCGGGAGAAAGTCTGTGGTTTGGAAAGTTGTCGTGCATCACACCACGGTGGGCGCATCATCAGTGGAGCTCCTCGGTACTCCTACTAGCGGTATCGGTACCTGCATCATGCAAATGCGGCAAACTTGCCATTACAGACAACGAAAGTGAGGACGCGCGAAAGCGCTTACTTTGAGTTGTATTAGTTTCGGCTCTTGACGGGTTGAGTGCTTAGAGACACCCGTGCACCTATCTGTAGACGCGCAGCATGCGGTAGCGAGGGTTCGTTGGCGGTACTCGCTAGGTAGGGTGCGCACTGCTACCCAGTATCATGACGGGCATCTCACGGTGCATGGGAAGTACTCGTTCGCGCGGTCATAGAAGGCGTCTGAAGAGATAGCTACGTTGCTATGAGCGGTAAGGTGGTCGGACGCGCTACATGCCTGCCAACGCGCGTGTCCAACGCGTCGACTTCGAACGATGGAATGATGCAGCCTACGTCAAGTTCAAGATAGCGTCACGGCGCATGGCTACAGTGGCGGTGCTCAAGTCGATGGATGACTCAACCTTGAATGCGTCCGGGAGACCCAGGTCATGGGAGCTTAGCAAGTGACTTGGTGGGCGAAGCGGTCAGCACAGCCATAGACGAGGACCAAGTCGCTCTTCACGGGTGAAAAGGGCTGCATTCGCATGACGAAAGAGGGCTGATTGCACTGTCTCTGATTTCCAGAGAGCACTTGGCTGGCGCGTGAAGCGTTGGTCGTCTGTTGCATAGGGCATGTGCATGGATGGTGACTGACTTGGGCGTTGGTTAGGTAAGGCTGGAAGTGATTCGCCCCGCTCTGCTGCCTGCCCTTAAACTCCCACACCGCCCGCACCCTCAGCGTCCTACATCTCCACCCGCACCACTGACAAAACTCCCGCCTGCTCACTCTACACACTCACATACACTACCCATCACTCTTACACATATCCAAGATGCGTTCCAAGTTCAAGGACGAGCACCCGTTCGAGAAGCGCAAGGCCGAGGCGGAGCGCATTCGCCAGAAGTACAACGACCGCATTCCCGTACGTTTGCCTCCTGCCTGTTCATCTCCCTCACTACGACAGCAGCTAACAAGGCGCAGGTCATCTGCGAGAAGGTCGAGAAGTCGGACATCGCGACCATCGACAAGAAGAAGTACCTGGTACCCGCCGACCTGACCGTCGGACAGTTCGTCTACGTGATCCGTAAGCGCATCAAGCTGTCACCTGAGAAGGCCATCTTCATCTTCGTTGATGAGGTTCTGCCGCCTACCGCCGCTCTCATGAGCTCGATATATGAGGAGCACAAGGATGAGGATGGCTTCCTGTACATTACGTACGTAATCCCTTCGCCGCGCAACGCGATGCAGCTGCTAACAACCTTATAGGTACTCCGGCGAGAACACATTCGGCGAGGCCATCTAGGGAGCTCACTCCATCCCGCATCCCCTTATCTATCGGTTATCAAGGCCGCGGCGAACTCACAGGCGTTATCGGATCACGGGTTTCTTCATTATTTCATGGCAACACTACACCGGCTGGGTGATGGATTGGTATTCTTGATCAGCGATTTGGTGCGACGGCAGACTCCTCGGCACTCAGCACTAGGCAAACATCATCTGAGAATGAGGCGGATCAAGCACAAGACAGCAAGAATGCACTCCGCTGGAGATGGAGCTCCACGGACATGACGAGTGGCGGTCGGACAGATTGGCTTTCTCTTTTGCGCTGTACCTGTAGCTTGATCATTACATTTCGGCACAAATGCACCAGACTTAATCCAAGACGACTGTCTTCACATGACCCCATCTGTGACGTCTCGCATGTATCCCGTGAAGCGCTATCTGTACCTGACAAGGCAGCGTGACTTGCGGCTCCTCCGGGCTGAAACCCATGACGCCATCACCCGCCTCACCAGACGCCTAACCGCCTCCATACAACCAGCTGCATGCAGACTGGATACACAACATGGGTGATCAAAGCGACGTGAACTGTTCTAGCACCTTCTGAAACAATGACATGCTTTCCAAGCGGCTTTTGACGCGTGCTTGCCCAAGTAGTCCGCATGGCGCGACCGCGGGCGTGGGGAAGCTCCAGCTGGCGGCAGGCACGGACCACAGCAAATGCAGGTGCAGTGGATCTTTGATGGACGCGATCTGAGAGAAGTTGATCGAGACACCGACGTGAATCTTTGCCCTTGTCGACTTGCACCTGCAGAACCATCGCAGTTGCCTAAACAATCCACTACTTGTTCGCAATCGAATCACTTCCGGAAGACCATCCTGAGACCCCGCAGTCATGGCGGCCCAGTACATCATATCGAAGTGAGCCTTCCCCTCTCGTCGAACTTGGACTTGGAGACTAACAAGTCGCGCAGAAGTCTCGACCCTCTTTTCGCCATATCCATCGGTCTCGCTGCTGCCTTCACACGGATAAATCGCGAGGAGAAAGAGAAGGGCCGGAGCTCACAGGAGAGCATAGATGTGCTGAAGAGGAGATGGAATCTGGCATGGCAGGGCAACGAAGTGGAGAAGAAGGCCTGAGTTCGAAGAGACAAGAAGGAATAGAAAGATGTGGGACGAGAAGGTCATAGGGGGATGCAAACGCAAGACATACGAAGTTGCATGCGGTGCACTTTCACCATGGACGAATACTACGATACCCCGCTACGCGATGGATAAGAGGAGGAGAATTGGTTCAATAAGAGCTGTCTCACTACACAGAGGGTAGGCACCTCCTCGCTAAGCCATCTATATGACATGCCCGATAGCCGTCATCGTCTGTCTGGTCGTACCCAGCTTGTCAACAGGCGTAAAGATCAAGTGACAGCTCATCCCAGAGGCTGCGGGAGATAGGACGTAGGGCGCAACATGCAAAGAGTAACCATCTCGTTCTCTGCGCAACACTAATGAAACTCGCTCTGACGATGCGAAAGCTGTAAGAAATGTCACAGGCTTCATGGAAATATGCTTAAAGTCCTCTCGAATATGCTTTTTCTGATGTACAGTTGCCAAAAGTCGAGTTCATCTTTTCACTTGCAGCTAGGCCTGTTCCAAATACCCACATCTGTTTGAATCTTCCTTCCGACACGAATATCACCACCACAGCCAAATCTCCTAGAAGATAAGCTTCCATGCCGCCTCGGCCGTGAGTCCCAGAAGCGCAACCGAACTCGCAGCAAAGACCGGAAAGCGCAGGGAGACGTTATTCGTCGAAACATGAATAATGCTGTGTACGAATCTCAAGCCGACATAAGCCCACGCCAAAGCAACGGTCCTCTTCTCTTTTACATCCAAAAGGCTCAGTCCCAGCAACACGGCGTAGAACTGAGTGGGTT